TACAACCCTTCTTCTCAGAATCATATATAGGATGCCCTTAAAATCCCCAATTACCATCCATGGTAGGTTACTTTGTCCGGCCAGATCACATAATAATGCACAAGCTTCTCTCCTCCGCTTAGTCTCCGGATATCCACAGAAGCAGGTGAGCCGCCACTGATGCCCACCAACTAATAAGCAAACATTGCAATCAATATAGGTGCTCTGTATTTCGAGTATGTCCACCCCCGTCTCATCATTCCAACACAAAGCCAAGCAGTCTAAGACGCCACCATAGCCATCACAGTCAGGGCAACGGGCAAGTCGAGAATGCCAACAAAATTATACAGGAGGGCCTCGAGAAGAAATTGGAAGCTGGGTCAATGAATAGCACAACATACTCCAGGCATACAGGACTACCATGAGACGCGCAAGAGGTGAAACTCCATTCGCCCTATCCTAACGATTCAAAGGCAAAAGTATCCACATATATGATCCTCCCATCCCGGCGGGTGGAAGAGTATGAAGCAGAAATGAATGATGAAAACATGAGGATTGATCGCCACCTCATCTGAAAATGAAGGGAGCAGGCCAACCTACGAGCTGAAAACTACCGAAGGCAGGTTAAATCTTATCACTACGCCAACTCTGCCCTAGGGAATTCCAAGTGGCATACTATATCCTCCAAAAAAGAGAAGCGAGCTAGAGCTGTCAAACGGGCCAACCCGCCCCGACCCGCCCCGACCCGCGGCGGGTTATGAGTTTCACGGGTCGGGGCGGGCCAACCCGCTTACTATCGGGCCAGAATTTTTATGACCCTAACCCGACCCACCTAACCCACGGGTTATGCGGGCCAGCCCGCGGGCCATAAATGTCAAAACAAAAAAAATTAAATATCTAAATTAAAATCCAAACACAATTGTAATAGCAATTAAATATCTAAATTAAAATCCAAACACAATTAAAAAGGAAAAAATTAGTGCTTGAAAATCCTTTGGTTGTATGTTTGAATGTATCATCGGGGGTAAGTGGTATACTTAAAAAGTTAAAAGATGAAATACTTACAAGCTTTAATGTATTATTGTGGGTATACTTAAGCTGAAATACCGCAACTACCTAATTTCTCATTTATTTAGCCTGATTTGGATATCATGAATAAAACAACATAGAAGTCCTTATGTTATAAAACAATATAGCAATGAATACATTAAAAATACATTTATTTAGTCTAATTTGGATATCATGAACAAAATACATTAGTATTAGAAGTGAGGAAAGAACTAGAAGTAAAAAGAGAGTATAATAGAAGATATAATTGTCTTATATAGAAATAATATAATTAAAAATACATAGAATAAATTATATTTGTCCTCAGCCCGCGGGTTGGCCCGCAACCCGGACGGGTTGGCCCGCTAAACCCGCAACCCGATAGGGTTGACCCACTGAGCCCGCAAAACAATCGGGCCTGAAAATGATAACCCTAACCCACTTATAAGTGGGTTGAAACGGGCCAACCCGCGGGTTTCGGCCCGTTTTGACGGCTCTAAAGCGAGCTAGCCAATCGAAGGAGGCAAACTCGCCCAAAAATATGAGGGCCCGTATATCGTCACCTCCATCATCAAGGAAGGCACCTACAAACTAAAACACCCCAATGGGTCAGAAGTACCATGATTGTGGAATGTACACCGCCTGGTCAAATTATGTCAATAACTCAAGGCAATGGTGACGGGAAATTCCCCACGTCGGAAATATATGGATGCAACTTCACCCCCCCCCCCCCCCCCCCCCCCCGCCTTGAAGCCACTTATCAATGAAAATTATTGTTTTTATCAATGAAATTATTGTTTTCTATACATGTCTAAATGATTGAAAAGGGAACAAAAAAATGAGTATGTCACCCCCACCCTGCAGTAAAAGTCTGGGAAAGCATGACCAATGACGACTTAATCTGGAACCGGAGGCCCGCGAAATGGACAAAGGCCCAAAAGGAGACGTTTGTCGCATCGTTTCCATTAGGGAATGATAGTCTCAAAAATATCTGAGACTTTGAAATACTCCAAACACTGAAGGGTGATTCTGAGGAGCTCTAAGTGCTAACCAAAAGCACGATCCCAACGGCCCTAGAGGCCGGTATCCCCTTATGTGCAGCAAGACGCCATGAGATGAGGTGCAGGAAATAACCCCCCATCCGATAACTAGCTCCACAACAATATGATCAATGAGTCACACACCTCTCACTTCACACATAGAAGAGAAGTCTCCAAAAAATGAGGGAGCCGAGTACATGAAGACTAGCCAAACTCTAGCTACAAAAGAGAACCCCCAAAACATTTACAAGTCAAAAAATTTCGCTAAGGCAAAAGTCTTAGGGCCCCACCTCAAAATTTAGAGGATTGCCCCTAAGTTAAACTCATAAGTTATGAGCTATCCAATATGGCCACACAACTCACACGACCGATGTGCAGACAAATGTCCTACAACCTTAAAATTACTAAGTACAAAAACCGCCCGGCCAAAGTAAGAAGTCATTCAAAAGAAAGATACAGGTGGCTAAACACAAATGTGGCCAAGTACAAATGTGGGTCGACTCTTATGCCTTAGCTAAGAGTGTGGTCGTGACCTCGGCAGCACAAGTAAGTCACCACTGAGGTGATAGAGGGAAAAAGCAATACATACACAAAGGGAAGAACAATATGCAATTCAATCAAAGAAAATGCCAAGCATAAAAGCAATTCAATTGCAAATAACAAATAAAAACTATGTGACACCTGATCACGCTTTTCTTAAACAAATGGAAAAATTACAACCGGTGGGCACTTTGGCCGTTACAAAGATGTTTCTTACAAGGGAAGCCAAAATGATTCACACCATTTCAGCTCCTTGCGCAGATAAGCCTCGAGCTCTTCAAGGGCACCGCCCCTCTTTACTTCCTGCCGAGAAAAGCTCTTCATCCATTCATTGGCCTCATCATCTAAATCCGAGTCCAACACGGAATCCTGCCTCTCAGCCAATAGCTTCTTCATTTCCTCGACTGGGTTAATCATCACCGGGAGTAGGCCATAACCTTCAGGGGTGAAGTCCTTCTCCTTTTGACGCAACCGCCGGTACAACACCTGCATGTGCCACTATTACATTTAATGACCTTTTGTAACGGCGGAAAATCATTACATTAGGTCCAAAAGTCTATTACATTCTATCAAATGTATGAGTTTCATGTCGTAACATTCGCCCGCGATATCTTTTCCCTATTGTAACAGTACGTAACGTTTTTTAAAACCAATTGTGACACGTTTTGAAAATAAACCAAAAGTGTTACCACTATCATTATCACCTAAGAGAGGTACAAATGTAACATTGTTTACTTAGCCAAATGTACTAGTAACACTTTAGCAAAAATATATAAAAAAATTTATAATGTATTAATAAATTTTTAATATACTACGTAGCATTTACTCTATACGAAGTATGTGTGGACGGGATATTCTCAGTGTACAGATCTGAAGGTGGGTTTTCCAATTTGGTCAAAACACTCATCCCTCTGGACGCTACATCTTTGCCGGCTATTCGTCTTTAGGGAATTAGATTTCAAGTATAGTTCTCCCATTTTTATTAGTAAACAGAAGTTATTAAAATAATAATGTGATATTAAAAGTAAATTTTCATTCATTGGGGAATAGGACTGTCATGTTTTTATTCCCAAAATAGGACTAATTACTGCCAAATTTGGAAAATACTGCCATGTTTGAAATCTGGTACTGTCAAAACATGACAGTAATTAGTCCTATTTTGGGAATAAAAACATGGAAGTCCTATTTTGAAATTTCCAAATTTTTTTAGTCCCATTTTGGGTAATATCTCTTATTTTTATCATACACAATAACATTTACGTAGTACATGTCTATATACTTCTAACATTTAGTTTATAAAAGTAGTTTATAAGTCTAGATTTGCACAATAATGAAATAATATCAGTTACATAACTACATCTCACACACTATTAGCAGGGATGGATCCAGGATTTCGAGTCAAGGGGAGCGAAATTTTTTCATTAGTATAGGGGTGATTTTTTTCGCTCGTGTAGGGGAGTGATTTTTTTTCACTAGTGTAGCAGAGCAAATTTTTGTTGCTAGTGTTTGGCTTTGCAGCGATTTTTTTATTAAAAAAAATCCATTAATACATACATGATGATATTTAAATCTATTACATTCTAAGTTTAGACAATGGAAAATAACTTTGATTTTATGATCAAAGCGCTCCAGAAAAAAGTCTTGATGCATCAAAGCATAAGAAATTGAAAAATCAAAGGGAAATTATTTCAAAATAAAAAGGACATATAATATTTATCAAATTATTTGAATATAAAAAGTTTAAAAGGCATACATCCACCAATACTTTTTAAATAACTTTTGTTTTGTTTAATCACATAAATCTTATCGGAATAAATGATTAATTTTTGAATTGCAATTTTTGTCTACCAAGGAGGGTGTTCGTGAGTCACGATAATTAGTTTCATTTTCTTAATATTACAATACTATGCATGAGATTATTATACATATACATGGTGCATATTATATTTGTATTATTGCTAAAATAAGTTAAAGTTTATTGTCTATGCAATAAATTGTTTTTAAAAAGTAAGAAGTAAAATGATTGTAATTTAATGTTAAGTGACATTGTTAATATAGCACTCTAATGGTTCTTAATTTACCGAATTACCGGTGTAGGACTTTATCACCCCTCCTCACGACCAGACACTTCGTCTGGATTGTGCCGTCAATCATTTTTTTCGTCGTTCGTCATTTTCATTTTTTATAATTGTGTCATCATTTTTCACAAGGGGATACCATGTTAAGACCCGGGATTCCATCCTAAAAGGTCAACCTGTTTGTAGGAGAAGTCTAGAGCTTAATATAACACTTTAATACTTCTTAATTTACCGGTATGGAACTTCATCAAACATCAACAAACATTTATATTTTGGATTCAATTCACATGATTTAAAAACTGTTTAAGTAGTGTGTCTGATAATTAAACATTACAAAACTAGGAATTTTTATATAACAAGTATCCTAAGTCTTGAATGTTCATAAATTGACAGCGTGTAACAGGTTAAGGTTATATATATAATTTTTGGGGCCAACTCAAGAATGCACGTAAATTGACACAAGTTCATAGATCCCCTAGTTATAATGAGTAAGCTGGTACCAAACATTCCCTATTGTTGAATTGTTCAAGATACAAACAATACCCAACAAGTCAATAATCACCGATTACACGTCCAAGTCCAGTGATCAGAATCTGATATAACTATTTGTGCAAACAATGCTTACGAGCCAAGGGAAAGCTTATTGAGTTCCAAGACACCTTGACCTTGAGCTTTCTTCATTTCAAGAGCCCTTTTGTAGGGAGGAGCAATTGGAGGCTGTACAGGATCTAAACTCTGATAACTTCCATCTGCATTCTTGGAGAGGGGATATGACCGGTCTGAGTCATACCCACTGAGGTCTCCGCAAGCCAAAAATGGTATATACACCTTGTTTGGTCCTTCCAGCCATCCACTACTACAATCTGCCATGTAACAATGGTCAGAAGAAATTATTAGTGTTAGTTCACCACTTTACATGCAGATTGAAGAACAAACATTTTTTCAAATAGAAAGCAGTTTTGTTGTCAATTTAGTATGAGTATAATTTTGGGCCATAAATGACTTAATTGGAAAGTTCAAATTTATGCCCTTGAAGTTTTTAGGCACATATATTGATAGAGACTTTACTAAACTGAAGAGAAGAGATAAATACTCTAATAAAGTGTATTCTAGAAGGAAATAGGGTTGTTATTAGTCTAGTCTTTTATGCGCAAATAATTATTGGTGGTTAGTCTTCATTACTATAAATAGACCATAGTAGGATATTGTAAGTAGACTGTTATCTTTGGATGTATTGTTGCCTTGAGAGTCCCTGTTGCCTAAGAAGTCCCTGTACCCTACGATTTACCCTTATATCATCAATAAACGTCTATTTCCATCTCTGTTCATCAGATCTGTGAGTTGGTTCATCAGATTTGTGACTGTGTCTAACATTGGTATCAGAGCGTTAGGATCACTGGTGTGGAAATTCTGTCGCTAAAAGAAGTCTGTCGCAGATGGAGAAGAATCAGGAAAAGATCGAACAAAATCAACAATCCTTCGATGATTGGGCTGCGGAGATGTGGAGTATGATAGGATCATGGGCTGAGGAGTATAATAATACAATAATAGAATAATGTTACATATTGTGTTATTGTGTTTTAAGGGGTCCAGGCCTGGTATTATTTAGTTATGGGCCGGCCCGTAAGGAAAATCTTATAAATAGAAGCTAAGTAAGGAATAAGAGATAGGCAGAACTTGGGATCTGGATTGGGACTTGGGAGAGACCGGGGCACTCTCGAATTTGCCCTCACTTGTATCGTTTCCGTTCAATTTCAACATTTTCAGTTTTAGTATTCCAGAAATTCATCGTCAGATTTCCTTGTTCCTATCAATGGTATCAAAGCAGTCGACCAAGGGAAGCTTCGATCAACAGTCACGCGATAAAAAAATGGAGCACAGGGAACATCGACGGTCAGAGAGGAAGGAAGCGCGAGATGCACTTGTCTGCGGAAAAGGGGAAGGAACTACATCGACGATCCGATCAGCGTACTTCGCGCGGAAAAGAGGAGAAGCCGTTGGAAAAGGTTGAAAGTGATTGGGCCAAGGAGATGCGCCATATGTTGGGCAAAATTCGTCACAGACTCAAGCGGCATAGAGACAGAGCGAGGAGCCCTCCTAGACAACGTCGGCCGATTGAAAATAATCAGGTGTCTTCATCCGTCGCTCTTCCTAGTTCACAATCGCGAACTGCAACACTTAGTTCGCAGACATCTTTGCAAGCGCATGTCTCTTCTCAGTCGCCATCACTTCCGTCCAGTTGTCTGGCTTCTTCGCGATCTTCATCTCACAGTTTGCAGCTGCGAACTTCATCTCACAGTTTGAAATCCCGAACTTCATCATCCACCAGCAGTTCACGACCAACAGTAACTTCTAATTCTCAGATTTCATTGCAAACATATTTCACTGGTTCGCAGGTTTCATCTCCCGCCTCTTTTAACAGTGCTCAAGTTTCATCTCCCACAATGAACTCTAAGTTGAGGCCAGCTGAACCATCAATTACGGAACCGGACTCGGATAATGATAGGACTACTGGATATCTGCCAAATTATCTAGAGGATATGAAACCGCCTTAGGTGGATGAAAATGGAATTCGTTGGGGTAAAGTGGAAGAACAACTGTCAACGCAACCGGAGGATAAGGTAAAAGTCACAGATGTACCAGAGAGGAGGATTCAAGCACTGGAGTGGAAATCTGATATAACTATGATGAATGTTGGGCCTGACGTTTTTGTATCCCCTATTGGGCCCAACCCCATGATGGATCAGTCACAACTTCTAGTGGGTACAGGAATTGGCGCATTCTCACCTGCAATTGTGATGTTGAAACTGGGGCAAGCTGCTCCGGGAGTTCCTAATGGTGAAGGTTCTAAGGAGCTGGTTGTTAGTATGCCACTATTAGAATTGCATACTGATGAAGGAAAGAAAACAGTAGTTGATGCTGGTTATGAAACCATTGCATATATCCTGCCTTTTGACCCTATTCAACAGCACTTAGCTTTTGGGATCACAGATGGTAGGCTGAAAGAATGTGGAGGGAATAATATCGAAAGCCTTATGGTATGGGAGCTGGAGAACAAACAATTGTCTTCCATATTAATAGGGTTGTCAAACATACCCACATTCTATGCTATATATGGCATTCATTACACGTTTATGGAGATGAACGATGATGATATTCAACCCACGGGACGTCCACCAGATAATCAGGGAAGGGCAGAAAATGTTGAGTCTGATGCCAGCTCACTTTTAAAGTCTGCTTTGCTTGAAGAGACAGATGCTGAAGCTGCAGAAGAAACTGAGAAAGTAGCAGAGGGGAACATTATGAAGAAGTATGCATTTTTGGTTTACTGGAAGAAATATGTAGATCACGAGGCACGGATAGGTTTGATGGATAAAGCTGTTGTGGTCCCGAGCGAGCAAATCAAGGAGGAATATATTCTGTAGGCAGGTGGTTGCACTACTGTTTAATTGCTGTAAATACATATGGAGATCCTGAAACAAGTAGAGGGCTGTTTGAAGGTAGATTTTCACCTGAAGTTCCTCAATATCCTTCTCTGGAGGTTTATTCTGTTGCTGCAAGAGTTATGGCCTCTGTTATATGGGGAATGAGAGAAGAACATTTCTCAGAATCGGTGCTTTGGCTGTTAGATACTCTGAAATCTGATGGCAGCAACGTTGAGTGTTGTGGAGCTGCACAGGGCCTGAGCGAGTGGGTGCGAATGTTTAAAGAGAATGACTATATCCTGGAGGCGCAAAATGTGGTGCATTTGACAAAGTTTAATGTTTTTTATGCGACTTATGATACTGTCAGTATCAATCAAGGAGGTGCAGATGATCTGAAGAAGGAGGCAGTGATCAGAAGGTTTCAACAAGACTGGGTTCAAAATGAATTTCAAGCAATTATAGTTGCAAATGAAGGCGATTTTCGTGGTGTCCTATCTAGGGAGAATCAGACACGTGAGATATCAAGAGATCACAAACCTGATTTTGAAGATGAATCTGAGGGAGACGTGAAACACTTGCGACTATCTACCCTAATCAAAGAGGGACTCATATTCCCTAGAACCTTCAAGGTACAAGGAGAGCTACAGATGAACAAAGGAAGCACACAGATTCTGATATTACTGAATTCTGGGGGCACTCTTAATCTCATATTTCAAAAATTGATAGAGGTGGTGCAAATGTACTATAAATCAGCAGTAATGTTTCAAGTCGAGATGGGGAAAGGAGAGCAAATATCACTCCCGAGCAGTTGTGAGGTACTACAGACTTGGGTACACCATTTAGTGATAACTGAGGACTCCTTTTTGTTAGATCTTGGAGAGATTAATGTGATTCTGGGAATGGGACCACTAGCCAATTATGGAAATGTAGAGAAAAATTTCAGGATACACAACATAAAGTGGTTGGGAGATGGGCCAGAGATGCAGTTGCTGGGAGATTTTAAACCTTTGCAACATTGAGGAGCAGTATGCAACAAAGTCATTGCCTCTGTTCTTTCTTGCTATGCTCTTTCGGGCTATGAAAGGAGTGACCATGAAGGTTGAAATCAGGAAACTATGGGTTCAGAAATCTGTGAGGTATTGGGAAGGAAGAGGCGCCAGAAAGAAGATGAAGTTGAAGGTCAAGGCTGTTTCCTATCACCCACCTTGAGGACAAGGTGTTTGTCAAGGGGGGAGATATGATAGGATCATGGGCTGAGGAGTATAATAATACAATAATAGAATAATGTTACATATTGACATATTGTGTTATTGTGTTTTAAGGGGTCCAGGCCTGGTATTATTTAGTTATGGGCCGGCCCGTAAGGAAAATCTTATAAATAGAAGCTAAGTAAGGAATAAGAGATAGGCAGAACTTGGGATCTGGATTGGGACTTGGGAGAGACCGGGGCACTCTCGAATTTGCCCTCACTTGTATCGTTTCCGTTCAATTTCAACATTTTCAGTTTTAGTATTCCAGAAATTCATCGTCAGATTTCCTTGTTCCTATCAGAGTAGAATAAACAAGATCCGTCATCAACCTCGCAGGCGAACTAGAGACCGAGCGCGAATTGTTTCATCTGGTTCGCACTCACAAAAGGCTTCGCGCGGAAAACTGGAGAAGACCGCGGAAAAGGTGGAGCGCGTAAAAATAGCGAAGGAGAAGCATATGAAGAGCAAAGAAAAGGTAGAAAGGGATGGGGCGAAGGAAAGATGGACCAGATTGGAGGAGTCGCGAACTGTTTCTCACTCTCAAAAGGATTCGCGCGGAACCTTGGGGAAGTTCACAGAAAAAGTTGAAGGCGAGAAAGTGGAGAAAGAGAAGCGTAAAAAAATGGAGAAAGAGAAACGCAAAAAAGTGGAGAAAGAGAAACGCGAAAAAGTGGAGAAGGAAAAGCCTTCAAACCTGGAGAAGGGGAAGCCCAAGCTGTGACAACATCGTCGGCAAGGAAGGTCGAGGACTGTGCGTCGCTGCATGAATTCGAAAAACAAAGAGGCGCAGCAGGAATTGGCTATTCAGCAGCACACCTATGGAGAAGAGGAACGCAATGATAAACCATCAGTTAATCTTCAACCTGAAGATGGAGCGGTTGTTGGATTCCCCAGACGTAAGATTGTTTCCAAGAACGATCGGGACCAGTCAGAACTTGAAATCAATAGGTTCAAGCTTCTTCAGGCAGGTGATATTTCTTCTCATATTGTACAGCAGATGAACTGGCCAAATGCCTTCAAGAATGAAATGGTGTATTGTCATTCATTAAACATATTGTGGGAAGGATTATACATGTTTGGTATTCCTAGATTGGAAGGGGTTACGTCTATGAAAAATATTCAAACAGAGATGGTGAATGATGTGTCAATGGAAAAGTATGTGAAAAATATTCTGACAGTCAGGATAGTTATTGTGGGTAAAAAGGGTATAATAGTCCAGAGTATCTTAGCAGGACCATTGGGAAAGAATGATCTACAGATTTGTGCGTTTGGAGGATCAATCTTCACTCACTCCAATGACAAATCTGGGATAGAAGCTAAGGGCTGCAGTTTGATGCTTTATACAAGTTGGGACTCCTCACATTATGGACTGAGATGGGCTGATAAGTTGACTCTTGACTACCAGTTGAATACAATCCGTGTGGACCTGGACTTTACGAATCAAGCTGTTGTAGTTGATGTTTCCAACAGAAAGCATCTCATGGATTATTCATTAAGGCCAGATTTTGCTAGTGGTGTCAAAAGTGATGGAAAGTGGCTGGATGAAGTTATCAATGAAGTTTTTCAACAGTTAGTTAGGGAATTTTTGAAGAGATTGATTGATCAAATAGTGGAAGTTTGTATGTGTGTTCGTGAAAAGGTTAAAACTGATCTGCTCTATGATCCATCTAGAGCTGAAACTCATCAGAGGAAGATGTTGAGATGTTACTATAATAGGGATCTCAAATCATATGCTTTTGAACAGGTGCCAGGTCATGAACAAACTGAGGTCAAATTTTTTGAAAAGAAGTGGGAACAAAAACCAAGAATTCAACAGGAGATACAGACACTGGGAAAATATTACAACACCAGGGAGCATTATGCCACGATGTCTTTACTTCTGTTCTTTCCTGCTGAGAACTGGATAATGAAGATTCAAGTAGCAAAGCTCTTTGCTCTGAAACCAGTGAGATGTTGGGAAGGTAGAAGCGCCAGGATGAAGAGGAAGCAGAAGAAGGAATTGAAACCTGCCAACTCCTGCCAAGACCTTCTTAGTTGTTTAATTGAAGAGTGTAAAGTACTGGTGTGGCCTGAGGAAGTGAAGAATATCTGAATGAATTCAGCAGGAGAGAGGGAAATCTGGGTACATATGAAGGATCTTCCGGAGTTGGAATAATACTGGGAGACAGAACATAGCATCAGTCAACAATTTCCAACCGTCCAACTTGAGGGCAAGTTGGATTTTCAGGAGGGGAGATTTGATAGACTTTACTAAACTGAAGAGAAGAGATAAATACTCTAATAAAGTGTATTCTAGAAGGAAATAGGGTTGTTATTAGTCTAGTCTTTTATGAGCAAATAACTATCGGTGGTTAGCCTTCATTACTATAAATAGACTATAGTAGGATATTGTAAGTAGACTGTTATCTTTGGATGTATTGTTGCCTTGAAGTCCCTGTACCCTACGATTTACCCTTATATCATCAATAAACGTCTATTTCCATCTCTGTTCATCAGATCTGTGAGTTGGTTTACTGTTTTTAGCTTTGATTTGTGACTGTGTCTAACATATATGCTTCTCATGTTTGTTCCAAGTGCAGAGTGGCCCTAAAATATTATTTAGGCGTGAAAAAGGATTAGAAACAACAGAGCTCCTCTTAGAGTGGTTTAGTTCATATAAGCTGAAACATATGAACCAAACAAAAGTGGTCACTTGGTAGCTGCATAGTGCAATTAAAAATTACTTTGAAGTGGATGACTATTTCACTCTGAATCATTTTTATGATTAAATAAACAAAAAATTATCATCTTTCATTGCGACCTTTTATATGAAACAAATATGACATCTAACCAAATAATTAATAGAAGTATAAGACATTTGCATTTTAAAGTTTAAAAATACAGTACACTTTTCAATTTTAAGATATCACGAAGCACCAATCTAGAAGTCTAGAGAAGGGCCTACATGCTCATAAGTCATAAGAATTGCTTGCAATGCTTATTTGCAACTAAAAATCATTAAGGGGTCAGTCAATCTATGGAAGCGGGCATTAGAGACCTAAAATATTTAATGAAGGCTAATTTTAGGCAATTCAAAAGACAAGGTAAGAAAGAAGTAGCCAGCAACACTAATTCATCATCAGCATCATCATCATCATTACCCTAGTGCAGCAAAGCCTCCCACCTAAGATGGGTAAGGGGGACCGGATCTATGCAGTCTTACCCATGTACTAAAACGGGGAGAGATTATTTTCGGATGACCCATAACGAATGTCTCGTCGAAAATTGCATGGACCGCTGCTCCTTCATAACCCAGAAGCGCAAACAGTTTAGTGAGCCAATTTGCTTTATTCCATCATATTCTCCCGCCAAAAAATAGCGAGTCTTTCACTCCATTACAAATGATGGACATGCCAGCAGCACTAATTCTAAGAAAAATATAGAAACTATGTTCAAGTGCTTTAGGAAAGGGGGGGGGGGGCATGGTAAATAATATTACCTAAATCTTCCATGCCAGATGGACTCCCAACCTTTTCAAGAAGGCGATACAAATCTTTCTCGTTAAATCCTTCAGGTGGAGAATAGATCTCACAGACTGCAAATGCTTCTGCATTTGATATAACATGTGTGAGGTCTCTTTGAATTTAATACAGTTAGGTGTTAAATTTAAACATGCATGTGCGTCGTGATGGACACAATTTTTTGGTGGGTGAAATTTTCCTGATTTTAGTTAAGTGATTTGAAAGTGCTATATATCTAGTACACAAAAATAATTGACCTCTTGAAAAGAAATCATGTCTGCTAAAGGTGCAACTTTTTAAATCATGATAAAAAGTCATGTAATCTTATTTATATTTTTGAAAAGAACTTTATTAAACGAGATTCATCATATTTAACTTTTGTTTGCATGCTTTTTGGAAGATTGCTTTAAAAGGGAAAATGACTTTAAATAATACCGACTATTCACTAATAGACTAAAAACAATCCCAATTTAAGAAAATATAAATTGATAGCCAATCAATTTTAATATATACCAGAAAAAATATGAGCATATATTCTGATTTAAAAAATAAGCTACAGAGTACAGACATACAACAGCTAACTTGAATCGATGCATGATATCACCAAAAGGAAAAGAAAGAAAATAAAGATAAAAAAAGATATGCTATTATAAACAAGAGAATATAAAAGAGATGAATATACATATAAAAGATAAAATAAAAAGAATAAAAATAATAGTTATATATAAGGATATAAGAATAAAAGATAAGAAAAAAAGAGGGGAAAAGATGATACAAGATCACTCCTCCACACGAATACCCGCCCTCCACTTTGCTCTCTCCAAAGTCATATCCCCATCCAATCCAAGAAGAAACATATCAGTGATATCACTTCTGACTCCCCTAACCCACGTCTGTTTAGGCCTTCTTCTCCCTCTCTGCCCTACCTCTTCTCCACACATCTCAACTCGTCTGACAGGTGCTTCACTCGGTCTTCTATGCACATGACCAAACCACCGGAGTCGCGACTCCCGCATTTACAGAGTACAGAGTACAGACATAAATAATTTAAAATGTTGTTTATAAAGAACAAAGAATACTACCAGCTTAGCAACAATTGGACATAGAACAATAGACCAAAATAAATTTAACACAGTACTTTAGCCATTGCTACTTTTGGGATAAATAGTTTGCTAACAATTTGTAATTTCTGTAGTTAGGATTCGTAACTTACTTAGGATTATTTTTAGTCGATACTCTAGCCAATAGTTTTCCATCATTTACAATGAAGCCAAAGATTCATTATCTTTTGGCTTGAGAATCTTTTGGCTTGAGAATATGATGGAATAAAGCAAAATGGCTCATTAAACTGTCTGCGCTTCTTTGTTATGAAGCAGCAGTCAGTCCATGCAATTTTCGATGCGATTTTCACTATGGGTCATCCGGAAACAGTCTCTCTGTGATTTAGTACAGGGGTAAGACTGCGTACATCCGACCCCCCCCTTACCCCACCGTAGGTGGTAGCCTTTGCGGCACTGGGGTAAATGAAAATGAAAATGAAAATGACTCTATAGCCAATAGTTGGTATCATTTAGAGACATTTTCCCTTAAAATCAGCTTCTTTGATGAAATGGAACTCTTCTTTTTGGACAAAAAAACAGCTTGTAAACTTGACTCCTTTTAGGTGCAGTGTGTAATATAAACTGATCCATAAGGCTATTTATTGCATTAAGATACTAAAATCAGTCCTTAATACTATTGAACACTAACATAATAATTTCACATTGCCACCTCAAATCCAAAGGCGACTGGCAAAGGAATTACTACATACCAATACTTGAATTGCGACTGCTTTTGGGCTTAGCAAAAGTAACTTCAGTGAAAAAAAGTTTGAGCTGCATCAAAAGGAAAAATAAGACAAACTGATCTGAACTAAGTCATAACAAGCAGAAATTGTTGACCAGTGAGAATACACAAGTTATGTGTTTCCATGCAATTTTGTCCAAAAAAAAACGGCTACAAGTATACTTTTAAGCAAGTAACCTGACAATAAAGAAGGCTTGTATCTTTTCCTCGAAAAATTTTGGCTATGAACTTTCCACCTTGTTTTAGTATGTGAGTAACTATGGTCAAACCCTGCAAGCCATTTATGAGAAAAAATGTGCGCTAAGATACGAAGTCGAAAACAATGAAACGGACATAGTTTGACATATATGGAGGAAGGGATAAAGGCTAGGCGCTCACAGCCAATATAAGTTGGGACTGAACAAATTCATCCATATCATGGAGTCCAGTAACTGCAAGATACATAGTTAGACAGAGAACCATGATCACAAGAAGCAGTAGAAGTTAACAACATAGAGTAAATTCAGATGGAGGGTTTTGCAGGGGTCAGGAGGGATTTGTACAGTTAAGTCTATATCTTGATAGATAACTATGTGTTTGAGAATTTATTCAAAAATCAAGGAAAATAAAGTAGTGATTAGTGGTTATACAAGATTTTTATCATTCTTTAATTGATTTACAAAACATTCTATTTATATGATTTAGCTTAAACCCTACCAAAGCCTTCCCCTCCAGAACCGTCCATCCAACAAGACCCTTGGAGGAACTAAAGTAGTTATGAATTTATGATTTATACGTAATATTTACCGTCAGGTGCACCATCACAGACAACCAGGTCAGCTTTGCATCCATCAAAATGTCTAATCACCTGAAACAAGATTTAAATGTAATGTTCAAGACGAGCAATACAATTAGGACTTCACATGTACTCTTTTCAATTATGTCAAGTATTAAGTCACACATTTCCACCTAAACTCTCAATAAAAACACCAGAGAAAGAAACGAAAAAATCATACCACTTCAGCTGTTCTAGCATTTGTTATATCACCTTGTACTTGAATAACACCTTCAATTGGAGCCATTGGCTGCAAATCAATGGCTACAATAAGTGGTAGATCGTTGTCTCTGAAATCAATAACAAAAGATAAATTGGGTGGTCATAAGACTTTAGGAGTTTAGGGGTGTGGGAACATGGATCTGATGAAATCATATATGGTATTAAACTATTAATATGCCTGACATGAATCACATGATAATATCATTCAAGCTTCTATACTTAATTGTTGAAGTGGCTCTACACAAAACCAACGAGCATCAAACAGATAAGTGAAAAACAAATCAGTGCGTTTACATTGAATCTTGGGAGAGTTTTGCTGGAAGATACAACTTTCGGCTCAAAACCTGTATACAGGTATTTTTATGTAGAAACAGTAAGTTTATTTGGATAAAGCAGCCTTTGAGAGTAAAGCAGTATCGAAATACTAATAAGAAATGACAACTTAAAAAAGACTATGGCATCATTTGTTTTTTGGCGGTTGATTAGAAACGCTGGTCCCAATCCGCAACAAAAGTGCAGCGTTTATAGTTTATTTCAGCTTGGCATTTTGGCTGAAACACATATGTCCAAACATACCGTATGTTTTTTACTAATTTTTAATACCTGACTCCAGCTGCCAGGAGCTGCACACAAATCCACAACATGTTTAACTCCTGCAAATATAAGAGCATATAATCCAATTCAAGAAACCAATCAAGTAATAAATCATGAGTCTGCTTGAGACCTTCACCAGGACCATCGGACTGAATGAGAGCTTGTGATGTGTAGAAGCATAAGACATTACGACTAATAAATACAATGATCAAATATAACAAACTCAAAGAGGTCAGACAGCTAAGAATGAGATACTAAAGAAAATAAAAATCATTTGCATGATATTCTGATCGGGAACTTAAGATAGAAATCAAAGCATGGTAGGATTAGTACATAAACATGATTTATGCATCTGTGCAAAAACAACAATTTCAGTATTTGTATTATAAATTGGCCTAAGATAATAGTTCCCTGGTCATTTCATCTACATAGGAAGAGCGTAAGTTAGTAGTCCCTAGTAATTCTAGAATGTGATGAACCCATTCTTTTAGATCTTCATCTCAAAACAACAATGAGCACTATATACTTATTCAACTTAATACGGGATTAAAAGTGATCAACTTTTTGCTAGACATTCAAACAAAACCTTCAAATATGTTAAACTCATCATCAATCTGAAGGAGCTTAAAGGCACTCCTTGCACGCCACCCTTCTTCTTTAGCTTTCCGATAATAAATGTCCTGCAAAGTTTGTTTATTTACACATTGAATCACAGTGATAAAAAACAAAAATTGTGAAAATCAACTTATATTTGAGCAGTAAACAAGATGCACCCTTTTATCCCTTGAAGCTTTTCCCATATTCCAAACTTGTGCGCAACTGATCACAGGGACAAGGTGGGCACAGGTTGTGGCGGATCTGCGGATCTACCACCTAACTTTTGGGAGTTCAAAATAACTTTAAATTATAATTTTGCACAATAGTATTATTTGATCCAACAAGGCAACAGCTCTACACATGTATCTTTGCCAATACAAAAACTACTAATGAAGATGCACACTTAAGAGAAAATTAAAAGTAGGCAGTGATTGAGCACCATATGAAAAATGCACGTAGCTAAATATAGCATAGTGGTAAAGTTAGAAACCATTCCTCAAATTAGTGGATAAACTTGGATGATTCACATATTCAGGTAGAATAAATAACAGAAATCTCACTATAACATGCCAATAAGCCCACTAATTAAGTTCAAAACCTGCTAATAACCTTGCTTACATGCAGACCTTTTAGGTATCTTCCTCTATTATATTTACCGTCAATAAGTAAGTTAGTTCCATTACAAAATTGCAAGTCTAAATTGGGGGGTGCGGAAAACAAAATGCGGATAAATACTTTATTGAAAATTTAAATAGTTTTTGACACATGGACATACTTGTCACGGCGTCGCCCACTTCACTCGCCTAGCCAGAAAAAGAATAGTCGCGATAGTCTTCCTCTTGGCGCCCAGGCGTGATTTTGCGACAGGTTGTCTCCTTTTTTCCCAGTCGAACTACAGTCCGCAGGCCCATAAAACAGTAGATATAGGCTTTAGGAAACTAGGGGGTGTATTCATTTGGGACTTAATTGGACTTCTCAAGATTTGTGTGGATTTTTATGCAACACATTTGAAGACATTTATGGACTATTTACGTATTTGGAAAAAAGTGCAAAGCTTCCTACAAGGGATCCGATTTTCCATACAAATATGAAGACTATATCACCCATACCTGCAAGTTACCAATTTTCAACAAAGTGGAAGCTTTATGCAAGGGATTTGGTGATGGAGTTTTGCAGACCACAACATAGATTCATCCACGGAGTTAGGAATTTGTACGGGCTGGAAGCGTGACAGGGAGAAGAGGAGTACGCGATAGGTTTCCGATGTCTTCGGGTTGGGGAAAAAATCGACGCGAGGGCGGTCTTTTTCCGGCGACCTCTTAACTGCTCCAACACAGAAGTTCCCGGCTGCGGGCATACATAGAGGCCGTTTGGGAAAAAATGTTTTAAAATACTCCCTCCCTCAGAGGAGAAGTTCCCGGGTTGACTTTCACACATATTTAGGAAATAAAGTTACTGAGGGGTAAATTTTACTATTTCGACACTATTTGGCACTGTTTCGACACTGTTTGACACTGTTTTGCACTGTTTGACACTGTTTTGATGTAGGATAACTTTCCATTTAGGGAAATGGGAACTTTTTGTTGGGACTACCAAAAAAGTAAAGTGAGAACTTCTCCCTGGGACGGAGGGAGTAGTTATTATAACCCTAAACTTGACACAAATTTACTCCTAGAAATAAAAAATACCCCCTCAGTGTCATTGAATTTTGTCAATTTTCCTTTTCTGATTGTCCCAAAAAACGTTGTCACTTTCTCATTAAAGCAACTAATTTGTGGTTCTGTATATTTCTCTCAACAAATTTCAACCACACAATTTTTACTATTCTTATTTCTCACCTAATTTGCACTTGGCGAAGTCCACCGAGACGGAGGGAATATGATACTTCTGTTTTAGAATTTCAAAACGTTTTTACTCTTATTTAGGGTATTCTCTTTGGAAGTTCTGCTTATCAACCAATTTTTTCGCCAAACAAGGTTGGAGTAATAATTTTTGCTTTCGCGCGTTGAATTGTGTAATAAGCAGAAAATGTAAGGTTGGAGTTGCTTTTCTGGCTGTATTGGCAGAAGTTACTGTAGATGACCATTTTAGCTATTTTTACATATAATTTTTTCTATGTAAATTTCACTCAGAACTTCATAAATTTGAATCAGCCAAATCAGTCGATTTTTGTGCTATTACACGGGCGACGGGCTCATATAGTGGGGAACTTTCTCCTTCGCATTGATGGATTTCAAATCTGGGGGGTGAGATTTGAAAATGGGATTTGGGCATGTATTTGGGTTAGTAAGTTTGGATAAGTCGAAGTTGTAAAGTCTAATCCATGTTTTAGGGAGTGTTTGCTAAAGATTAAAATAAAAGGTTTTTAGCTTTTGGTTTAAAAAAGTTGAAATTGAGTGTTTTCAAATGACTAATTATGCTTCAATTAATCACTTAAAAGCTGGAAGCAGGTTGATAGGTGCTTTAAACTGCTTTTCACTTTTCCTATTAAAGAAAAAATATGTATTCTATCAAATACTGCCAACTTTCCTTTTTCATAATCACTTTTTTCTCAAATACTATCAACTTTTACTATTAATCACTTTTCCCAGAATCACTTTAAAAGATCACTTTTTTAAAGTTGAAGCAATCGCAAACAAGGCTAATATGAATACATCTAAAATATGTCTATACATCTTGAGATGTCTAAAATGTCTCAGAATGTCTTAATTAGTTACACCAAAAATTCATAAATCATAAAATGTCTATAATTAATATTAGTACACCCCCTAAAAAAGGGATCTGATAATCTGAAGGACTATTTGTTGTCACCGTCGTCTACACTCTAACTCAAGTCGTAAAGACAAGCTAGCCAAGTCGTTCGAATCAAACGAACAGTAACAACTCCAGGAGAACTCCACGGGTCTCGCCCTCCCAGTCGCTCGCCAATAAAATCACTCACCAGTTTAGATGTTTTTACTCTGTTTTCAATGGTAGCCATAGATTTTTTGAAAGGGGGCGTAGTGAAGGCTAAGAATTATTGTGTATTTGCTCAAAATATATTAAAAACAAGAGAAAAAAACGGCAAATAAGCCCACTTACTAACCAAACAAGATCAAATAGGTCCTTATTTAGGAGGTTTTGTCCGCCCGTCGCCATTTGGAGTGGTTCCCAGTGGAATTGTTTGATCAATTTTTTTGAGCATCTTATTCATTGAGTCTAGTTTACTCATACCAAATTTTAGCTAACAATTCAATTGGGAAGACATTCAAATGAATTTTTGAAGATAATTTTGTTTTTAACTGCACAGTTATCTTCAGTAATTCATTTGAATGTCTTCCCGGTTGAATTTTTTAACTGAGATTTGGTATGCATAAACTAGACTGAATGAATAAGACGCTCAAAAAAGTTCATTAAAAAGTTCCACCGGGAATGACCCCAAATTGCGACGGCCGGACAGAACCTACTAAATAAGAGCTTATTTGACCTTTTTTGTTAGTACGTGGGCTTTTTTGCCCCTTTTATCTAAAAACAATAAGTTTACTACATTATCACAAATTAGTTCATTACATATTGCTTGACTTATAATCTAGCTAGATCAACATACGAGTTTTAATTTATTTAAAATGTTGTATAATAATAACTTAATGTTGGAAAAACACGACCCCTAGCTTTTTCTAGGATCATGAGCTCATACACTCTTGTACACTTATCCACAACTCATAATACTTAGAGTCAGCCTGATGATAACACTCCTTTTACCAGCACTCACTCTTAGTATGCGAGAATACTTCACTCTACATAACTTGATCACATACACTTTATCAAATGATGTCTTTGAGTCTTCTTCTCTCATAGGAAGGGTCTCACTTTTCTCTTTCAAGGAGACTTATCTAAACACATATAGAGAATCTTAGACATCTCTGAAAACTAGTACCTTTGTCTTGAAAGGTTTGTCGACTTTTCTTGCTTAATCATAACAAACTTTGGACAATGATTTCATTTATTATATTTACTAGTTTACCAACGCGCGTTGCGCGTTCGTGTAAATGCCCAAGACCATTGTAGGCATATTAATTGAGGAGTTTAGGTGGAGTGAATATGTGAGTACATTATGAGCACACTATATATTTGTACACATTGTTTGTTAGAAATTGATAATAAAAAAAAACTGAATGAATAAAATACTCCGTATAATGGAAGATACAACAGCCGGCATGATGTGTTGCAAGGCAAGAACGGTGTGCTCAGCAATCACCTCTGGTGCAACCTTAGTAGAGTCTGAGCCAGATCAATGTAACCATGTTTGGCTTCAACAAGGTACCTTCAAGGAGAACATGATGGTCATTGAGGGCCTTGCAGCAAGCCGCAAGAACACGCTCTATCACATCAGCACATTTTTTTATGTCATGGCGCCAGGAGCAGTGAAGAGCAGCTCACGTAGAGCCGTTATGTTTGATTCAACATTTTTAACGTTGATGCTAGATAAATGCATGCCAAGTGCCAGTCGACTCGTCAGCAGCAAGAATTCTCTTTCCAGGGGTACCAATGTATGCAACATTGGCTGTAAGCTCATCGGCGTATTCCCATCTGTAGCATGACATGGTTGATTGTTAATGGAGAAGAGAAGAATGAGATGGGAAGAGCTGAGGGGAGAGGTTAAAACTTGGTAACGTAAACATGCTCACATGTGTACTAAGTCTTTAACTCATAATATATATGTTTGTTAACAAAAACATTGAAACATAAACAGGCCCCTGTGTTAGTACCCTCTTTCAAATGTAGGGATTTCAGATTGTCTTGCTAAGGTGAAGGGCCTGAACAAAAATTCTAGGGATTCCTATCATTTGTGATAGGCACCCATCTCTACAATTATATAAGCATGAATATTCTTAGGAGGCATAGTGAGGAATTGAATAATCTATTGCCTCTACCACAAAAAGTCTCTAAAAGAAGTGTTTTCCAATGTTTCTACTGTTTGTCTCAACTCTCGGATAATATTAATTAAATCTGCTTTTTTCTTTCAAAAAATATAATAGTAGCCTTATTAAGTGTGAAATGGGATTCCTTAGTCCTTACCATTTCATAATAATCTCTAAATATAGCATAGCGTACATGAATTTTCTTACATTTCAGCAACCATATAGCTACCAAATCACAGAAGGGGGGGGGGGGGGAATGAAATTAAAACAGCCCCAAGTGTAAGTAAATGGCAGCAAGTCACCTACAATACTTCACATGGACATTTCACCAAACACATTGCAATCAAAATAAAACAAAGAGATACACAGAAATAAACAAGGAATACAAACAAAGGAGTGGGAAGAAGTACAAATGTAAACAAGGCAATTAAAATCCAACAAAGAAACAACACAATCAAGGAAAAGACTGATAATTTAGGAATGAATCGGACTTAATATCATATAGAGCAATATTCAAAGTATACTTCTCTTATCACGAAATTAAGTTCAAAATCATAACTTTATTCATTCATTAAATTTTTTCATTGTGCCTCATTCAACATTAGCTTATTTCAACATAAATAACTTATGAGCAAAAATCTAAGTGTTCAATTGAATATAATATTTCATTCTACCGTAGTTTTTCATTTTTATAGCTTAACATTACTTCTAAGATGACATGTAGCAATAAAAATTAATATAGTAACAATATAACTTGAAATATATATTTGGAGAAGGAATAAACACAAACCTTAAATAAATCTGTAGCAAGATTTAAATGTAAAAGAAGTATTTGATTAATTAAGGAGAGACCTTCGGGAAACCTTGGCGGTGGCAGATCTGCTCGACTGCACAGGTCAAGACCACACCAGCGCCGACTCCTCAGCAAAGGCAGGGCGGAATAGATGGATCCACTTCGAGGCTTCATCAACAAGGGCAGACCTGCACTTTTCGAGCAGAATTTGGGCCTGCCACACCAGCAACGACACGCCAGACATGGTTGGACGGAAAAAGAAGAGAGGGAGGGTGTGCCCAGGATTAAGAGCAAAGGAAGGTTTAAATATATTGTTAATTAATTGAGAAGTCCGAAATTCACTAATGAAAAGCAGATAGGCTTTGACGGCAAAGCTAACCCCGTAAGCCGATGCCTTAGCCATAACTGTTAAAACCTTCAACTCGGTATGCACGTGGTACAATTACCTGATGCACGAGAGACACGGACATATTTTTTAAGACCACTATACCCTAACTATATTCATGCTTATATAATTGTAAAGATTTATAATTTCTAAATGTTATACTTTTATGAAAATATTTTGAATAAGGAATATTTTGATATAATATTCATATTCAAAATAATTTCTTATTAAAGAATATCATTGTTCAAAGTTGGTAGTCATTGACTAATAAAAGTCAAATTGACGAACCTTTTCGGAATGGAGGGGGTATAAAATTCTCATG